TAAAAAAATATATTCCATAATTCTATAATTTCTCATAATTGGTCTTATTGAATAATGAAGGATACATCCCTATTTATAGAGATTGCATGAGAGAATTCCAATCCAAGTAGGAAAAGATATATAGCAAAAATACAAAAAGAAAATAGAGGAATAAGGAAAGAAATTAATTAACAATATTCTATTGCCTAATAATATTCAAAATATTAAGGTTGTTTAAGCACAAAAACAATTTTGAGGTTTCTAAAATTATGTAATGTTCTCTTACGTGAATAAACTACAATTTTTATGCTCGAGGTGTTAATGGAGACCTGCAAAATATTTTCATCTTTTGACGTTAAAGTTCATTTAAGTGCATAAAATGATCTTTATGGATAAATTATGCATGGGAGTTTGAATGGAAAAAAAATCGCTTGCTTATAGACTTTTTCTTCTTTTGGAATCACTATTTTAATGTTTGATTGGTGAGTTGTGGTTCTTGATGTAACTCATTACGAAATTCTTGAATGACATGAGTACGGGCCTTATAGAGAGCTTACAATCCTCTATATGTGGCCAAAGATATGATTCAACTCGAGTATTTGAATTATTTTCTATTCTTATGTGTATAAGTTAGATAATATATTGTCTACATACCTATTATACGTGTAATGTTTGACTTGTTGTGTTTGTTCTCTTTTTGTTTTGTTTTGGTTTTTTGGTGGTGTTCATGGCTTACCTAGGGTGATGAAGTTAATCATATCTTTTTGAGCTTGTGGTTGTTTCTCTCATTTTATAAAAAAAACAAAAAATTTAAAAAAACACAAAAATATTTAGCTTTTATCAACCCCCCTTTTATGTTGTATTTAAGTTATAATTTAAGTTTTTTTACTAAGTTATATTATAAGTGTTTGTTTATAAGTTATAATATAAGTTTTAATACTTTATTTACTTTCATATACTTAAGTATTTGTTATGTGTTTACAGATTATATTATAAGTTCTTTGTTTATATAAGTTATATTTATAAGTTTTTTTTATTTATTTAACTATAAGTTTTATAAATCTTATCATATGTGAAGTAGTTAGTCTTATTTTTTTTATTTTGTGACAATGTGTGTGCATGCTAAATTGGTTTTGAAAAAATACAAACTTTCTCAGTAGGACCGACTCTTACTTGCAATAGCTATAGTTTTTATTTGATTGTATCTTTGGGGTCAGCTAAGGAATATTTATAAACTATTAATTTGTTTTGGACTGTATGACGGGTCTCCAACTATGTGTTATGCGATCTAAGGCTCCACTATTATATTATCCACTATGTTTTAACACTAGAAGAAAGAAAATAGGAAGTGTAACACCCCAACCTGCATAACCCGAATACATTGGTCAGCGGACTGGGTTGCTACCAAAATTGGTATCCATACATGCACTTAATATTTCAAATCATTTAAGAACATCAATTCTAACTTTAAATAAAAACATTCAAGTGATTTAAAACAATTCGAAAGCTTAAGTAAATATTCGAAACATAACTTGGGAATCAAGCCCGTAAAAGTAAAAAGTCATTTTCAAATAAATAGAAACTCAAAGTCATCAATAACACACACACATCTCCTCATTTTCATTGCCCTCCAGGATTGGGTCCATATTCATCTTGACCTTGATTACCCGCGTGTAGCAAAACAACACAGTACACGCTCAACATTGACATTGAGTGAGAAATATTTAACATTCGATCATACACATAAACAAACTTAGTAGTCCATAATATTCATAAGATATCATGCACACATCACAAGATAAACAACATTACTTACTCTCCATAACAGTACACATTGTTATCAAATGTAGTATAACAATATTATTGCTTTAGTCCTTAGACTTATATTCATTCGGCCTCATAACCTATTCTAGCTTAATGCTTATTTATTCTTAGCTTACTATAGAGTCATGTCCTTCCCATTCGGAACGAATGTCATGCTCAACCCACGAAGGAGGTCCTCGTTGGGTGGGTGAAATAACTCTCTCCTTCAGAGTGATAGTTCAAAGATCCCCGTGCGCAGGTACAACATGACACTAACCTATTTATGCTTATGACATAACTTGCCATTATATTCTGTTTATGTAAGTTTTAGAGTTCTTTTAGGTAGACTAGTTGAATTGTTCATTATTCACCCCTTAACAATATAGCATTCATCAATGCGAATTAATATGTTCATCCACAACCAATCATGAAACACATATCAGCCTAGCGCTGGGCGAGAACACTTATGCTTACCGCCATACAACACACAAAGTCCTAGAAGTGATTGAGAGACCAACACTATGAATTATTTGACTAAGCCTTGTTCGTTCTAATAAACCAATGCCTAGGACGCTATCTTATTAGAATAAGGGTCCCTTTAGTCGACTAAGGCTGTATAACTCATACCTACTAGATGGCTGATTTATTCAAATAAATCCCTACTAATTTGAATAAACTAGTAGCCAGTCCAAGACTTGTGACAACCCCTTATTCAAATAAATGCTTGATTTATTAAAAAAAACGTGCTGCCTTTTACCTTATTCCGTCCACGCAAAGGAGGTTATTTTGTACCAAATTTTTACCCAATTCATTCATCCTCTTACAGCATGAATAAATAATTTAAAAGTTTACAAAAGTCATATTCTTACGTAATCCCTTACGATAGCAATCAAGATCAATCCAAAATCTAGATTTCATGGTCAAGTTCATAACAAAACAACAATCCCCACTAGCTTCATATATGATCAATCAAACGACAATCATGAACATGGGTTTTAGATCTTTATGCATAATCTAGCATTAGATGACCACGCACTCACCTCGAATTCGAAGAAAACTAAACTACGAGCACGAAGCTATGACGAATGATGGTGGCGGCGGATGCTGCTGCATCTGTTCCCTTCTCCTCATAACTGGTGCTGTTATGGCTGGTCTTCTTCGCTGGGCTGCCGCTGGTCTTTTACTCTAGTCGGTTGATGAAAGAGAAAGGGGGTGAGGAGAGAGAGAGAGAGAGAGAAAGAGAGATCGACTAAAAGAGAGAGGCATAATAGTTGTCTGTAATATGGGGTTGTGTGGGTGTGCAAACCCACTTCGGGTTATTATTTATACTCAAAGGGTTTTCTGCTCCGTAATTAATTAACGTACCACATTCAAAATACCATTTTCCAATCAACTTCCTCCGAATTCAGATCTGTTTGCACTGTTAGATTCGTTTTGTCGAACTCTACACATTGGTATAGTTTATAACAACCAATTATTAATTATTAACACCAGATCCATCTCAATAATTAATAATTTATTTCTAATTAATTAATTTTATAGATCGGGTTTTGAGGCATTACAAGAAGAAATACTTATTTTTTTGAAAATGGGAAACCATGTGTGCTGAAAGAAAACCAATTATAGAGCCGTCTTTATCACCATGGAAAGTGTTTTTTAACATAGCAATTAATTGAAAGTATTGATAGAATATGAGAGATACAGAAATCTCGTTGCACTGCAAGTTAGAATGAGAGCTAGACACCTGTGAGGTTGTAGAGCTCTAGCATATCAATCTCTTATCGCTAGCCCACACAACAGGCAGTTGCATCTCAATCTCTTTTTAGCCAACTCAACTCAAACCACGAACGGATAGCTCTTTTTTGCTAAACCCACGTCCAACAACCAGGAAGAATCGAACCCGGATCGGACCTGCTCCGATACCATGTTAAAATTCTGGCGGGCCGAGAACAATGGGTAGAGTGCCAGGTAAAATTAACCACTTGCATATAAAGTCGGGATCCAATATTCTAACCCAAAAGCTTAAGATGATAAGTTTGGCTTCAATCTTCCATATATGCTAGTGGTATTCATCTTTATTTTTTGATGTGGGAACTCCAACATAAAAGAAATGTTGTGTTTATATATAGGTTTTGCTTATTAATATTAATTTTTAAAATATTTTATGTATATATATATATAAACAGCAAATGAGTGTGAAAGAAATATATGTTTTGTTTGTATATAAAAGTGTAATTATTGATTTAAAATATTTTTTAATTATCCTTATAAAGATAATATAGAGAAGAGAGAGGTTTTCAAAAAAAGAGAGATGCGCAAGCAGTATGATCAATAAACAGCTAAACCTTCTTGCCAATTGAGTCTGGTACCAAAGGGATGGGGGCGGTGTTACCCTCTTTACCAAAATGCCACCTAAGCCAATTTGGTACCAAATTGAGTTTACTTGCTTCATACCGTCCACCCTTATGCTTCGTACATGTCCTAATCCAAGATGTATTCTCACCTTGACACTCTGCGGCACTATGCAAGAGTAGAAAGTTGTAATTATGCCAAGTATAATTCGAAAAAGTCTTTGATACTCTCAACAACAATTTCAAAACAATCACGCTTCTTGGGTAGACATAATACATCGAGGTCTTCACAGAATATTCACAATTTCCAACATACCATTGAGCCAACATACCATTCACAATTTACATATTACAAATTGAATCCAATATGGTGTATTGTAGTTTGGGTTCTTATTTCTTTGAGCAATGCTAGAGGTACACCAAATGGTGTACCCCATTTGTACACCATCATTTTTCACTATAAAATATTTATTAAATCATTGATTTTTTTATCAACACTAGGATTGTGTGGTGAAGAAGCTTTGAGATATAGTTGGAGTGCACTTTTTGGTGTACTCCTAACATTTTTGTATTTTTTTAGTGTGACTTTATGCATAAAGGTTATTAATGAATCCTTTTTTTTTCTTCTTCTTCGAGATCTCAATTTATAAAAGTATCGAAAATAAATACTGCCTTTACATATATTGGTGTAGGTTCTAGCTAGTGCGTATCAGATCATTTGCATGCCCGACTTATGGGGCCGTATTGAGTTGTTATTGTTTTATATACACCATTAACCCAAAATATTTGAGTTGGTACAATAATGATATGATTCACGTTTTTCAGAACAGACTTCCCAATGAAGAAAAAAAAACATTGTACATGTACCTGTGACTTTTAAGACATCCATCAGAGCTTCATCAAGAAAGAAAATGCATCTACCATTCTCAAGATCTGATAATTGTATACACTTAGAGGAGGCAAAGCTATGAACTGAACATACATATAATTCAACGAACTCTTAATTAGCAATCCCACACAAGTGGATAATTTACATTGCAATACAATCCCTCACAAGGCATCAATGACGAATCGCCGTCCATGAACTCATCAAACTGATCAAAGTTGGAGCCTTCAAACACATTGGCCACGGCTTCTTCGGGCCCAAATAATGCCGCGCTTGATGATTCAAACATGGAACCTCCCTGCAGGTTCCCTGTCACGAACCCGAACCCGGTTCGAGGGATCAAAGATGAACTACTCTCCATTGATGAACAGCTGAGGCCAAAGTCCATCATGGTGGTAGGGTTGTTGTTATTATTGGGTTGATGGTGCAATGAGGGAAAAGATGAATTGGGGTGTGGTGTCTCTACTATTGTGAAAGTTGAATTGGTTGAGCTGTTTTGGTAGGGTTTGTGGTTCTTCTTGGACTGGTTTGGAGAGAGGAGATTATGGGTGTTGGGGTCTAAGCCTTGGGCAATAAGCTTCTTCTTGATGCAAGAATTCCAAAAGTTCTTCACCTCATTGTCAGTCCTCCCTGGCAAGTGTTTGGCAATTTGTGCCCATCTGTTCCCAAGAATTCTATGCACATCTATTATGGTCCTCTCTTCTTGCTCTGTAAAAGAGCCCCTCTTGAGATCTGGCCTCAAATAATTTATCCACCTCAATCTGCAACTCTTCCCACACCTCTGCAACCCTGAACACACACATACACCATTCAATTTGCATAATATTTATAATTACTAAAAAGCAATGAGATATGAAAAAAAAGGTGAAATTTGCACTACATATATAAGACATACAAACCTGCAAGTTTAGGGACAGAGCTCCAGCAGCCATGGCCATGGGCGGTGATGTGCCTGACTAGCCTTTCATCTTCTTCTGGAGACCAAAGCCCTCTCTTCACCTTCTGTTTGCTGCAGCAGTGATGTCCCATGCCCACTCAACTCTCCTCTTTATTAGAGACCATTTCTATGTATGTAGATAAATATATATAAATACACACACACACACACACATGAATACATAATTAATGACACTAGCTTCCATATAATTTAATTATTATCACATTCTTCTAGCTCAATACTCCTGGCCTACCCACTCACAAATTAGAGAGGAGGTTTGATTTACCAAATGTGTGATATAGATGAAGTAGGCAACATTTTTTCATGTTATTTTAATGCAATATTTAACTTGGGGTGTACTCATAACACAAAAGACAGAGGACCACCATGGAGAGAGGTGTGATTGAGTGGTTTTCATCACCCCCATTCCATTCAAACTTGAATATCACTCTTCCATTGATAAAACTTTCTCCGTTCTACAAAACATTTTCTCTTGTCAAATTATATGGTAGACTTAAGGTCCACAATGGATCTATATATGAGCAAAATAAATATTTCTTTATTACCTAGATAAGCATTTGTTTTTTATAAATAAAAAATAAAAAAAGAATTTTTTTATGTAAGAAGGTCCACAAAAATGGCATGCACCCAAGGTGCACCATAGAAGCACTCTTTTTTCTTATCTTTTTATCCATCCCAAAAAAACTCTTCTTCTCCGATCAATTCAAATTAGCTATTTACTGTTATTAATTATTAACATACATCTCAGATCGTGTTCATTACTAATCTATATATCACATCTTATTCTATCTTACCATAAACCATAGATAAAATAGATACTCCGTAATTAACAACCAATTTACACTCTACTTAAATACAAATTTTATTAAATGTGGAAATATATTTTTGAGAGGGAGAGAGTATATGTGTGTACATGAACATATAAACTATTCTTTTCGTCCAAATTTTATTGACCATGTTCTTTTTGTAGCTTAGCGCTAGGAATCAATTATTTCTTGCAAAAGTTAGCTACTCCCTCCGCCCTCTTGTATTCTTTCAGTATGACGTTTTCAAGTCAAAATAGACGAATTTAATAATCAATTACTCTCAAATTGAAATAATTTTTATACAACGGAGTAATATAATTTTCAATTTTTTAAAATTGAGGTTCAAAATTCATCCTATATGAGTCCAAAAAATTGAAAGATTATTATGTTGTTTTGTTCAATTCCTACTAGGTATTACTTTTTTATTTCGGATATCAACTTATTGTTTTGTTTAGATGGCAGTGTGGCAGCAATTGTCGATTGAATTTGACGACATCATTAAATGGATTTAACTTAAGAATTAATGCTCCTATTTAAACTTTATATTGAGTTTTTTTTTTTTTTTACAATGGGAGACTCATGGATAGTACTTGGTAGGAGTAAATAATACGACTATAATACTCTGTAACATTCAATAATTGATCTCTCTCTCTAACCGGCAGGGCAGCATGCACATGTTAATTAAAAAAAGATGCTTATATAAAAAAGAACTAAAAGATGTACGACTGCTAATAATGAGTAGAAGAGTGGCCAAAACATACAAACTCGTGTATTTAGCTTGGCCCCAAATCACCAAACACGTAAAATAAACGTTTGCCCAATATTTTGAAATGCAGAGAAATTGTAGTTTGTATTTATCGATCATGATGATGCATGCCGGCCAATACACCATTTACATATCGTCTCCGTCCCGATTTAGGTGTCCCATTCTTTGTTTTGTATTTGAAATTATTTGCCCAAATTTGTATTGAATAAACTGTTATTTCCTTAAAAAAAATAAAATATTATTATAGAGAGAGTGGGTAATCTTACACCAATTCAATTAGATCACCTACGATGTTTCAATTATAAAATTGATTAATTGATTATTCTTATCCCCGAAAAAATCCCTCAATCATCTCGTCCCTAGCGCACCCCTGCCCCCATCCAAGAATGGGTATTCCGTGCATCTAAAGTTCACGCCTAAATCATAGACCTTCTCACAAAAGTTATTGAGTTTAGAAGCTAATGTGGAAAAAGTATGTTTCACCCAAGCTACCAAGCTGATGTAACTAATGCTAATCTTAATTCTAATCCTGATGTTAATCATTATCCTAATCCTAATCCCCTAATTCTAATCATAATCCTAATTCTAATCTTAATCTTAATTCTAGTCTTAATCCTAATGCTAATCCTAATTCTAATCCCCTAGTTCTATTTCAAATCATAATCCCTTAATCCTAATTCTAATCATAATCCTAATGCTCATACTAATACTAAGAAATCAACACTAGTAAGGTCCATATAATTAGAATGGGCCTGGAGACCATGAAAGTATTTGCCCCACCCAAATGCACAGCCCAAACTTTCTTGACTTTATTTGACCTCAAAGCCAACAAAAATTTGGATGGTGCCATTGGAGGGAATGCGGGGGTGCGGTAGGGACGGAGGGATGGGGTTATCGTGGATGTTAGGGTAGGAATAATCATTTTTATTATCGTAGCACTATAGGTGCTCTAATTGAATTGATGTAACAATCTGACACTAAATATTTGACGTAAGATTAATCTTTCTCTATTATACGAAATTATACGGAGTATAAATTACCGCATTTTAAAGGGGGGGGGGCACGAGTATAGTTGGCAACTTGGCGTTAATGAATGATAAACTCATTTTGAAAGAGGTAATCTCAATGATAAAATAATAGTGGCCAACAAAATAGAACTTCAGTATGTCGGTTTTTTATGGACAAAGAAATTACGAAGTAGAATTGTATTATATTATTGTGAATGCACGATCCACGTAAGAAACGTGGACCTTCAATTCTTACAATTTTCGATGGGCTCATAGTTATATATTGTTTTACAAGACCCATTACATGCAATCATTTTATATTTTTATGTATTAGTTCTATAAAATGAGTCCATAAAAGAATTTGCCAATTGGAAGTAAACATTTACAACACTTCTACAAGAAGCGTCTTACAATATGGAACATTTATAACCCTTCTACTAGAAGCATCATATAATACGGACTATAGCCGATGCCGGAGCTTAGGCCAAGAAACTGATAGGATTACTGGGTGGTATCCACCTTCACTGCCGCATCTTTCGTGGAGTAGACATAGCCAGGAGAATCCTTGATGGCTTGAAGCTCTTAAGGGGAGAGAACTGCTGTAAAACCAAATATAGCTTTGCCATAAGTATAAACAAGCTAAGTTTACCCAGAAATGGCACTGTCTTGTCTTCTGATACTGCAGATGAAGATGAATGCCAAATAATATAAGGCCATCATGTTATGGGTAGCCATTTCTTGTACTAAAATAAGATGGGTATTGGGATTGCGATGCTTTCATGTGGAATATATAAAGGAATATAAGAATAAGGTACTGGTTCATGAGGAGCTAAAAATGTGGGAGACCCTTTCACATATGCAACCAATTAAAAATTGAAAAGACTCTGGAAATTGGTAATATCATACATTGATGTAAATATTCACCAGATGTGGATCATAGATGATATAACAATTGGGCTTCTAACTATGTGATCACCACTCTCATCAACCCAAGCAATTGATCCGAATGCAGTTTCGCTGCTTCTGTTACCCCTATAGCTTACAACCAGCGAGTACCTCTGTGTCTCGTACTTCGTTTGGAACGATAAACTTTTAGGATTGACCGAAATCTCTGAATCTGCAGGTAACACAACATGGTCAATCCTATACGTTGCGGGGCCATCTCCGACGTAAGTAACAGTCCTCATGAATGTCTGGTTCACTGCCACAGTCGATTCATTGCCCGTGTACAGCAGAATGAAGGACGGGTAATTGAGATCGACAACAGATGATGTGTTTCCACATTCGTAGTTGTTTGCTCTGGTGATGCTCATAATCTGTGTTTTGGTGAAATCCATGGAACACAAAAGATTGATGTAGTACTGAGGAGTGGCATCATATATAAGCCCAGGATCAAGTGCAGCGTTTGGGTTAACCAGTCCCCCTCCCATTGCCAGAGGTGTGGCAGCCGTGTAGTTCAGACCGGAGTCTTTAATCGTACCATTTGTGTTATCATATGGGACGGCTGTGGTGACCATGGCTGACCGTATTGCAGCTGGACTCCATTCTGGATGTGCCCCTTTGAGGAGTGCAGCAATGGCAGAAGAATGGGGGCAAGCCATCGACGTACCAGACACCATGTTGAAAGAACTTGACGGTTCGGTTCCAGGAATCCAGGAAGCTAAGATCAAAGAACCAGGAGCCATGATGTCCGGCTTCAAGACCCACGGGGAACTCGGGGCGGGGCCTCGTGATGTGTAGGACGCGACAACCGGCGCAGGATTTCCCCTCAATACAGTTTGCTGAAATGTGATGCTAACATATGGGTTGGCACTACCAGTCCTGGCATAGTTGATAACCCTGTAGGAATCTTCCTGGCTTATTACAACTCCAGGGAATGAGCACAGGTTTGCACTCTCGAATAAAGCCGGATTGTCTGAGACGAAGATGCCACCTGAAAACCCACTCCGGGAAGCATTGTTCATTTGATCATACAATTGGTCAGTGTGGTCGCAAACAATGATTCCATTGGTTAAAGAATGGGAGAGAAGCTGCTGGGAGGAATTGCAGGCAGATATTGCATCATTGTATATGAGAGGCAGTCTTTCAAGAATTGTGTTCTTTTCTCCTCCAAGGCACATCGCCCATCCCGTGATTTCCTCTCCGTTTCCCAGTGACAAATTCCCTGCTAGCCAACGGTCTGTGGAACCCGCTGCGGATGTTAGGACCCACGGGATCCCGTTGTGTAGTTTTCCGGGGACAATCCCGGAATTTCCGGCGGATGTAGACACAAGAATGCCCTTCTCCATAGCACCGAAAGAAGCAATCGCGATCGGGTCTTCAAACAAATGAACCGAATCAAATCGAATCGAAATTGAAATCACATCAACTTCATCGGCAACGGCCTGGTCTATACCTGCAAGGACATCAGAGGAGCACATCCCTTCAACCCAACCCACCTTATACATAGCAACCCGAGCTTTTGGCACTATCCCTGTTGCAGTCCCTTGCGCATATCCAAAGAAAGAAACATCCTCGACATAGTTTCCAGCAACCGTTGACGAGGCATGCGTGCCGTGGCCCATAAAATCTCTTCCAGAATTCATGGCAATGGTAATGTTTGGATTTGCAGCTGAAACTCCCTTGTTGAAGTACCTAACCCCGACGAGTTTTTTGTTACACATGGAGGCATCAAACTGTTCCCCTTCCTCACATACCCCTCCCCACCTGTCGGGAACCTCGGTCATCCCGTCATCCTTGAAGCTTTTGCTCTCTGGCCAGACACCGGTGTCGACGACACCCACGATGACGCCATCTCCATACCTAGAAGCGGGCCATATTCCAGTTCCCTGATCGAGAGATAGGAACTCGAAGGTGTGGGTGGTGTCCAGAGTGGCAGTTTTGTCTCGGTAAGCCGAGACAAACCCGGGAGTGTTCTCCAGAGCTTCCAGCTCATCCTCGGACAACACTGCACTGAAGCCATGGAAGGAGTGCTCGTAAGTGTACAAGAGTCTGGTTGGGTTATTGACAGCTGGTTCAGTTGATGATGATGATGATGTTGAAGAAGAGGTTTCCAGTTTGACGGAGTGGACAATGGAGGAGTACCATTGTTCCTGTGTGGGAAAAGATTCCGGCATGAACGACCTGTCAAAGTGGACGATGTATGTTGATTTGTTTGCAGAGATTGACAGTGCTTGAATGAACAGAAACACAGCAAATGAGAAGATGATGAGTGAATCCATTTCTCTTGATCTGACAATAATAAAGTTTCCTTTCCTCTTATACGGAAACACAGTAAGATAGGACTGTGCATCATTACAAAAAGAAAAATGTACAACTCCGTTTACAGTACGCACATGACCTCTTTTTATGCATAAAAAGGAACAAGACTGCAGCATTACATTACAAAAAGTCAAACACAACATATAATGCGTTTCAAAGTTACCATTGAACAAAAAACGAGGATTCTGGGTTTTTCACAAACTAACTAGTACATAAAGTTGGGCCAAATAGCCAAAAAAAAGTTGCTGTAAAATAATGATAAGGGCAGGACCAGAAAGTGTTCAGGAAGCCTTGATGCTTGAAGACCGTATCATCGATGAATGAAGTTGTTCGGATAGGATGCTTACAGACAACACATGCCAAAAATCCAAGTGGCGAAACCAACCACCACTTATCAGTTATCAACTCGACCGTGCTTGGCCCTGGCCATGCGGTACCCCGTTTGACTCCGAAGTTATTCCAACTCTTAGTCCCCACTAACTTCCTCCCGGGGCCCGTCCCCTGTAGCAGAATAGATTGCAAAATACTTTGTATGAAATTAAAAGATAAGCTAAAAAAGAGACGGGATAAAAAAACAAGCTCGGAGGGCATATTGAATCATAAAAAGGAAATGTTGATTACTGCACATTTCAAGGTGATTTTGAAAATCTAACAGATTCACCTTCTAAAAAAGACTCCATTGTAGAACAAAAATAATACTCCCTCTATTCCAAATAAATAGTCCTCACTTCCTTTTGGGAAGTCCTAAAAGAATATTCCTCTTTCCTTTTCTTTTCCTCTTCTGGGAAGGTTTTGTGGCTCATATTTTTTTCACCTCTACATCACTTTCTGCTACAAAATTTCACTTTTCTTACACCTTTTGCCGAAATAAAGCATAGAATACAAGAGACGCTGAAGAACCATTGATTTAAACCAAAAATAATGAAAATAGATATAAGAAAACTCCACATGGGAATCCCTTTCATAAAGAAAATACTGTGACTTCCAAAATTGCTTTAAAGAGGTCAAGTAAATGAAATGTCTTCAGGAGGGGGGAGGGGTAATTAGTCTACCAAATTTATTCGTTTGGGGTCAGATCCGGTGGAAAAAGAAACAATTAGCGAATGTAAAGAAAGTTAGGAAAAGGTAAATATGAATTTCAAAAGAACAAAGGGCATAAAACACCTTCAACGGGAAGATAAGGTCTGCAGAATTTAGGATGTTCAGTTCTTTACCATGCGCCTCATGATACCTAAGTTGAGACTTAAATATTGTTTGTTCAGGTTGTTTATCTCAAGACAGGAAAAAGAACTCTTGCTTCAAACTTGAACTGTCATTAGTAATGAAAATGTCATCACAACAGTGTATCTCCATCAAACCTTGGGAACTTGCTGGATGAGTATTGAAAGTTAACAGCAAATGCCTCCATTGTGAACAAAAAAGACACAAGAAAGGGCATGTGCATAGAATGCACACCACTCCAAATATCTCTACGGACTATGTTGAAGTTATCAACCAAAAAAAGGACTCTTAAATAATCTGAAGTTGTGCAATGAACACTATACTCAGAATCATATTCCACCCCAATCACTACTCAATACAACACCGCTTGGGGATAATTTTGAAATCTTTTGCACAAACAAAGAACAAATTATTGTTTGACGAAAGTAGAGGGGATATATTTATCGAATCTGAGTATTCTACTTTAGTCTTTAATAAATTCTATTTTTAGCAGTCTGATAAAAAAGATGAAGAAACCAAACAGAGATCAAAAGGATAAAAACACCAAAACCATAAACATATTCTAATCTGCTTTAGTTGTGTTGGGATATTTTCCACATGCCCCCATGCTTCAGGTTGATCAAATTTCAGGTTCCCATGTTTATAGAACATAATAGTTCCTCTAGTCATTCCAAAGTACAACATTAAACACTTTGAGTAAATACACCAATCTGTCCATGGCTCACACAATATCATTCCAAACAACAAAATTAGAAATAAAACTCATTCCACTACCTTCAAATAGTCTTTTTTTAATGTTTTGAGAGAAATCTTTGCAAAAATACTGAAAACAACTTACACACTTGTGTGAATAAAACAAGAAAAGAATACAAGGAAAGTAAATAAGCAAAAATGCAAAAGCAACAGAATTGTTCAAAATACACAGCTAAGATCCTAATCTGAGCCTCAATTGAACATAGAATTGTGAGTGAAGACAATAAATATAAGATCCTAATATGTACCTCAATTCAACGTGGAATTGTGAGTGAATACATAAGATTGAAAATCAGTATTCGTAAAGCGTGTATAGGAACCTTTGCCTAAAATCAACGTGGAATTGTGAGTGAAGACATCAAAAATTAGAAAACACTAACCCTAAACCAAAAAATTCAAAGGGACGATAAAATTACCTGGGCGACGACGAACTGGCGAAGCAGCGGAGATGGAATGGATGAATTGTGGAAGGAGATAGCTAGCATAGGCGTATATAGGCTGTGAAGAGAGTAGTGGGCGGCAAGGGGTGGGTGAGTGGAAGACACAGTAACTTCACGACAGAAAACGGAAAAACGACCGCTTAGGGCGTTAGGGGAGACTTAAAGTTCGATATTATTACATTCGAGTTATGTTGTGGTTCAAGTTAAAGTACTTGTTCATGACTCAGAGTCATCGCGTTCGGACTAACCCAACAGGTTAAGGGGTGACTTTAAAAATTAAAATTTTTTTATTTAGAGATCAAATGATTGACGCATTATTCAAAACAAAAAACGAAGTCATAAAAGTTTACAATTCTATTTGCAACATACCAAAATAAAATTGTAATATACCCGAAAAATCAGCTTTTTGTAGCATACAAAAGAATTATAGTAGATGAAAAAATTGAAGATCCTTTCGATATATACCCAATATATATATACATTACACAGAAAAAAATTGAGATTCTTACAACATACCAAAATAAAAATTTGCAATAGATGAAAAGTCAGATTCATGTTTATATTTTTCACATGGTACCGTCATTATATTTTTGTTGAATGTACCACAACATGTACCGTCATTACATAATTGCAGCATACAAAAAATACAGTATACCAAAAAATTACACAATACCAAAAATTTATAATATACCAAAAAATTTAGAAGAAAAAAATTAAAACTTGAGCTACTCATAGGAGCAATTGAAGAAGATGAAATATGATTAAAAATACAACTATTGTTCTTGTGTCTTCTCACCATTTTGATTGAGTCGGCACTTAATATCGACGAATAGTGGAAGAGTGGAAGAACGAGAGAGAGATGGAGAGAGAGAGATTGGAATTTACTAGATTTAGATTCGTTTGTATGCTTTTTGAGTTGTAAACAATTAAGTGCATAACCTGTATAGAACCCGACCCAACCTGTTTTAACCCAAAAATTTAACGAGTTTTCGGGTTCGAATCATTTTGGGTTCAGGTCGCAATTTTGTCAGGTCCAGACGCAACGTTGTAAGAGAAGCTATGTCAGCATGGGTGGCCCGGAGGGTGTGCAAAGTAGCCAATCGCACAAGGCCCCTAAAATTTTACGGCCCCATATTTTAAAATTCATCATTAATTTTGAAGCAAAAGTATTCTAAAATAATAAAATAAGGCCAAAAATATAAATTTCGGACCGGGCTAATTTCATTTTTTCATTTTTCGAAGTCGGCCTGTGTTGATGTGAATTTTTTTAAAATACGAGTACAGTTATGAGAATTATGCTTAAGGAAATAGCTAAAAAATTATGCTTAAAGAAATATAAATAAACAAGAATATACTCCCTCCATCCTAAATTAAATCATATATTTACTATTCACATGTCAAATTTTATTCATTTTTCTTTTTCTATTTTTATTGCTCATTTGATAAAGTAATAGTCATGTTATTCTTTGATTAATTGTTTCGTACAATCCAGTTTGGGATCAAACAAGCTTGTTATTATTGTTGTTTTTTTATTTAATTCCAATTATGAAATAAATTGAACTGAAAATAACTTGAGTCAAATATTAGGAGTACATGCTTTAGAAGATAAGAATTGAACATTATGTATAAAAAAACAAAACGTGATAAATTTTGGAAATAGTTATGTATTGAATTTGGTTAAAAAAGAATTAGAGATTGGCCATATATCTCACTAAATTGTCTGATATTTTATCTCTGAGCAAACTCATTTGGGTTTATTGTTAGCTTTGGTTTACTAAATCTCATATTTTACACTATGTTTGGTTCAAGGAATTTGAAACGTAAAAGAAAAAGAAAACGAAATGAAAAATATGTTTTCTTGTTTGCTTAGAGAGGAAAAGTGGAAGAAAAGGAAAATGAGAAGACAAAATATACTAAGAGGAGGAAAAACCAAATTCATTTCATTTTGGTGAGGAAATTGAAAGAAAATCTTTTTCTTTTCTTTTCCTTACAAATTCCTTGAACCAAACATAGTGTTAATGTTAACGAACAATATATGAGCTAATGTTTATTTGAGTGTTTCATGTACAATAAGAATCCATAAAAAATGGTTCTAAAAACGAAGTTGAAACACCAAACTAGCGTAGAGTATAGGCTGAAACTAATGTAAGGATATGATTTTATATACCTATATTCACAAGCTCAAATGCACTCACAAAATATGTTTAAAACCTTCTTAAAATCATTTTCAAACTTCCAAATGATTTTTAACTCAAGTGAAAATGAATAAGCCAAAAATGAGTATACCAGCTAAGTGGAGCGGTACTTGATCTACTGCCTTCATATTAAAACGGTACCCCTATACCAGATTAGGTGCCAGAAGGGATAGTGAATGCCAGAGCATATCTCATTGTGGCAGACTCCCTACCATTGAAACGGTACCTTCCTGCCAGAACGGTACCTTAGTACCGAAACAAGTACCGGAAGAGACAGGCTACGCCACAAAATTTTGAACTAAACCATTAAACTGCTGCTGACTACCCGGTACAACCTACCATTTGTCCGGTACCCAACTACTGTCCGTCTGGTACTTAGCTACTGTTACCATTTGAATATTTTTCAAAATCTTAATTTCATATCTAATTGCATTTAATTGGCCAAAATTTCTCCTAATTAATCCCCAACGGCTATAAACGGACACTTAACATTTTACAATATAAATATGGCTTTAATATAATCCTTTGTATTCCAACAAGAATCCAAACTCTAATCTCCTATTTTCATATTCTAAAGTATGTTCTTGTTCTTAAATCTTTATATTTTGGCTAAAAGACCCTTGTTTTTATTCTGATTTTATACAGACACATTGAGCTTGTGATTATATATATATATACTCTCATATTTATAGGTTGATCTTGCATTACTTTAGAGAGTATAACCTCCGTTCTTCACCGGCCAAAGATTGATCTTTTTCTTTATCATAGGCGAAAAGGCGTTGAACATTTTTTTATACTCTTAAACACATATTTCACTCATTGTAATTGTCGAGTATAGTCATATAAATCCTTTTGTAGACGGTTAAGGATAGCCGAGAAATCCTTGGGTAAAAGGTTTGGGAACAACCTTCTAATCATTAGGGGAAAAGATTGAAGATAGCCTGCAAATCTTCATTGTAGTGGTTCGAGATAGGCATGGTGAAATCTCGAGGTAAATCCTATTGGCAAGGGCTGTTTGCCAAATCTAGTATGGTACTTTGACGGAGTTAAGGAGGCCAAGACTTTGAGGATTCGAAAAATTCTCAAGGAGGAGCCTTAACGTACTGGGGTAAAGAGTTTCGAAACTAGTATAAATTTGTGTAACACCTCAACCCGCGTAACCCGAATACATAGACTAACAGATCGATTGGGTTGTCTTTAGGTTGACATCTAAACGCAATAATTTTCAAAATAATTAAAACATTTAATTCAAATACAATATTTAAATTTCCATCAGAGTTAACAAAATGGTGCGTAAGCTTAAGTATTGAATTCAAAACACAATTTTGGGTTCTTGCTCGAAAACATGATATTTCAAACTAACTAAACAAACTCCGCAGCTAGCATCCATCCATCTCCTTATCCTCCCTGCCTTCCAGGATTGTTTCTTATTCGGCATTTCTTGTTACCTACGTATAACAAGTAAAACAAGCTACACGCTCAGCTTTCACGATGAGTGAAAGGTTCTCACAGTAGAAGTCACACATAGGGTTATTTCAACATACACATTCATTCATAGCATTACATGCTCAAAAAGTATCACATAACTTCATCAAATAATATCAACAATATCATATCAATCACACATAATGTTACTTACCTTGTTTATTTGGTTGCCTATGTTATCGAATCAACATCCTTATTCTTATGTAAGTCCATCTCTAACACTCGCTCATAACCTATTCTAGGCTAAGGTTATTTGGAAATAGACACAGACACAACATATTACAATACAACACGACTTTACCAACGAAGGAGTTTTCTGCTTGGTGGGTGGTACCCTTAACCCCTTCGGGACGACAACTAATAGATCTCGTACGCACGTTTTAACCCATAGCCATTAGGTATCAGATCTGCAAGGTTGACTCTACCTATTGACATTTATACTTACAATCACACTAGAGCAGCCCTAGAGTTCCTCTAGGTAGCCTAATCATTTATTTATAACATCTCCACATATTCAAACTTTTACCAACAACGACCACAATTCGTTATTTGCTTTCAAAACACATCAAGATTATATTCAATTATAACAAGAAAGATAGAAATAATCAGATAATCAATCATATAATATAGTTAGCGGCCCAGTGTTGGGTGTAAACACCTTCCACTTACCGTCATGCAACAAAGAAGGTCTCGGAACCAATCATGAATCCGAAAAAACAAGCAAACAAAGGGTTGAGAGAGGTCTGACATGTTACCTGTTACGGTACCCTGGTTCCGCTAGGCAGTACCTTGGTACCGTCTACCGGTACCGACCTATCGTCCGGGCATAGGTACCGGCAACAAAATTCCATCTGTGGTGGTAGCAAAGTACCTTTAGGCGATACTTAGCTATCGTCATCGTCTGACATCAGGAAAGCTAGGAAACAACAGAGAACGATCCAATTCCAAACCATTCAATACGTATAATGTTTATAGAGGTTATTGGTACACAAACCATGCAAATTAGAGTAAGAAAAACATACCTGGCCTTCCTCGATCAACCAATTCCAACGACATCATATTATAATTCGATAACTATAATCAAACAAACCACATAAACGAATCTACGACTGGTTATGCATACGAATCAACACTATCTATGAATTCTATGCTAGAACAAACTCACGAACTCACCTCGATTTAATTGGCAAAGAATCCCAAATTGACCTGTGATGAATCCCTGACGAAACCTTCCGGCGAAGCTCCGACAAAGACTTCTTTCAACCGCTTCTTCGGTATAGTTGGGTTGGCAGTGAGAAGAATGAACCAAGGTTGTATGGTTCGGCGAACAGGGATGGGGTATTTAAGCTGATGGGTTTTAAGTCTTTCCAGTTTGAATTAGGAAACTTGGTTGCATATACCTACTATGGAGTGTATTATTATTATTATATCTTTATTATAAAATTCTTTGTATTTATTTATTAAAGTTTAAGTATTGTCTTATTATTTAAGTAGTTGTAGATATTCATTAATAAAATTTAACAATAATAAAAATAATATAATAAAAAACCAAGTGTAAAATTGTATATGCACAATTATATTAAAAACTAAATTGAGAAGTAAAAAAATACAAATTAAAATACTTTTATAACTAAAATACCTAATAATATAATAAAATATTAATTTTTTAATTAATGTTGTTTACCGCTAAATTTACCAGTTTAAGCGATAAGCCCTTGACCCACTCCTTCGTCCGGATCGATTTCAAAGCATGCCAATTTTTTTTTAATAAATGCAGGATTATTCCGGTTCGTAAGAATCAGCCCGATCATCTTAAATAATACCGGTCGGTGCAAGTGGTCCAGTGACCCGGCCCTGCTGTCATCTCTATCTACGTATTCAGTCCTAGGGTTTCCCCAATATCTCCCTTTCGCCAAAGATCGAATATTTGACAGCCTCATATTCATCACCGGAAGCTCTTCATCCCCGGCAAAATCGCCGACTGATAAGAGCGTAAAACAATGGCGAAGTCTATGAGGTCTAAGAGGGAGAAGAGGCTGAGATCCATAAGAAGAGAGATTTTGGCTGTGGATCCAATCACCCTGAAGAAAGAGGCCGCTAAGCTCGCTGCCCAAGAAGCTGCCCTTGCTGCCCCTAAGCTTCCCGTCCGCTCCCAATCCACCCCAAATATGCCCATGGATATGGCGGCAGTATCCGGGACGTCCATCTCTAACAGCAAGGATAACAATATGGGTACTTCTCTTTCTTCCCCTCTTAGTTTCTTTCTTCTTTTTTTTTTTGAAATTTTTTCCCTTGTTATGAAGTTTTGTAGGTGTTTCTGCTCTGTTTCTATGAGAAGTGTTTAATTTATTTGGGATTTTACTGTGTTTGTTTGAATATTTGATTCACAGAGCATTATATAGATAGATATTACGTTCATTTAGAGATTTAGATTCTCCTTCAAATTCAAAATGATATGGTTTGCTTTGAGTTTCACCTTTATTAAGTATAGAATAAAGACCACTACCATTCAAGCACATGAACTACGCAATGATGTAATGTGGAATACTCAGGATATTGAATAAAGTTACCATTTATATAGCGATCCAAGGAAATAAAAGGCAGTAGTTAAGATTTTTTCTATGAGTGTTGTATGTTGTTGTCCAATTTAGCGTAGAATATAAGACTGCATTCATAGCCAAGAACAAGAAGATTACACAACAGGTGGAACTGTCAAATTCATATATTTTTGCTGGTTCCACAAATTTAATATGTAGTATCCTTAACGCTTTTGTTCACATGATTTTAATGGATGTGTGTAAACTGTAATGTGCTACTTTTTGTTTATATATGTGGTTGGAACGTGTATTAATGCCCTTATGTCATTTTCCCATTGTGTTCCAAGGACTTCAATATTTACGGAGTAATACTTCATTCAAAAAAACGAGTAATATTATCAAATGAATTTAATATTTCCTATAGTTTTCCAAAAAAGATTACAAACCATTAGATTAGACTTAGCTCAACCAACAAATAATGTTCAATCTTGTCTTGTATTGGAACAATGTGATAGCAAATATCTCAACTCATCATCGTCTCATTGTATTTTACATGCTTGTGGAAATAACCAATGATGGTAAGAAAGCTAAGGAATTTGCTTCTCATTATTCCTTTGTGAAAAGAAGGGCATCAGACACAAAACATTGACCCTTTGCTTTTTGCATGACTTTATAGTGCTAGTAAAATTTAAACGAGTAATTGGCACTAAAAATTTAATGCCACCAAACCCAATTTGTTGAGATTAAGGTGATGATAATGAGGATGGACCAACAAATAGTTTTAAAAAGATTCTAGGTTCTAGTAAGATTTGTTATCTTTAAGTCTATAACCAAAATTAAAAGGTTTTACTTTGACCAACTATGACTCCTTTTGGAATGGATTGGGTCTATTTTTACATCATTTTTTCGTATGCTAATCAGTTGATTCAGTTCTGAGTCAACCTGTTTGGAAATTGCTTAGTTTGCCGGGATACTTTTGATTACTCAACGTTGGTACCTATAGAAGTTGAGTCCATTGTGTAATCATGTGTACTAGAAGAACATGTCCATCTTACATCATGCCATATATGCAATGATATACGGAGTAAATAAAATAGTTGTGATATTCCACTATTTTGTTTCTTTCTTTTAAGAGTATAGCAATAGAAATGGAATGAAATGGAAAGGGACCTTACCACATAGATTCAAATTTTTTGTTCCAACGAAAAATAGTTATGATAAATTGCCTCTATTGGTTTGCAGATGTTGAGATGACAGACAAAGACAAAAACATGAAGTTGAAACCTATTGGAAAGAAGATGAAAAAGAAGCTCAAGTTGGCTAAGAAGAAAGGTCACGGTAAAGGCAAGATTAGGAAAAGAAATGTTTGAATCCCCAATTGCTATGAAGCTATAATGATTTCTATCGATGTTTGTTGGAAAACTAATCTTTCATGTGCTATGCTTATTATCTTTTTTGAACAGAAAAGAGGACTATTAGAAAAGACTGTGATTTTGCTTCCATTGTTTTTCTTTTAAAATGTGTGTTAAGGTTCAAAAAAGCTGAAATCACCCCATATTTGCCCCAAACTTTTTTCAACCTTTTTGGTCCGAAGATGCTCGCAGTATAGTTTTGCTGCTGTGTCTGGTGATTTTTGCAGCAGTGGTATTTGTCTTTCAATCACGAATGGGAGAGCAAAAATGTAATGATAAATGCTGCAGTTAGTTTTTTGTGATTTTGGAAGAACCATGCTACAATAATGCCAAGGATGACACCTTTGGTGGCGTCAACTTTGGTGTTAAAAGTTGGGTTATTGTAGTGTTATTGATTTGGGAAAGGGGAAAATGTAAGGTAAATGGTTTTGGCTTTTCCATATTTGGTTTTATACATTAGAAAGTTATATGAAAATTAAAATTGATTGAATCCTTAAAAACCTATTCATATGCTTATAATTTTTGTTAGATAATTGGCCTTGTCAATCTTAAAATATACTCCCTCCGTCCCAAATTATAATGCATGTTTACTCTTCGCAGGGTCAAATTTCATTTACTTTCTTTCTCAATTTTCGTTAGCAATTTGATAAAATAAAGTACTATTGTCACTACTAGTTTCGTAGATTTTTTGATGTAGTATTTTAATATGTAATTTTTACTTTTTAACTATATAACATTTGTCATATAAAATGATTTGAAAATAATTTCAGTCAAACATAGTAAACCGAAACAAGCGTTATAAAATGGGATGAGAGCCAAGCATGAATGGTTTTTTGAGACTAAAGACAGTGATGGAAAACCAAAAATCTGTACTATACAAACCTTTTGTATTGCAAAAACTTCTCATTTTGATTTTATATTTTCTTTTTTATCTGTAAACTTCAATATTCAATCATTTATAGTGAGTTTTGATAAAAAAAAAAAAGAAAATTGTTTACTGATAAAAAGATTGCTTGAGGGGATTAAGATTTTTTTAAGGACAAAAGGAGTAAGTTTAATTGTTTAAATGAACTCCTTTTAGCGAAATATAAAGGCAATAAGAGTCCTTAAAAAATAAAGGCAATAAGATGTTTGGGTACTCAATATTTTCAACAAGTAAAATGTTCAAACACATCCAAATTCAATTCGTTCATGTTCAACTTATTTATTGAGTATGTTTATAACACCACATGTTTTTCCTGTGATTTTACTTACTAATAATGCTACTTGCACACTAACATGATATACACCACTTGTATACTATGTTTTGCACGGACACACTAACACAAAATGTTACACTGTTAGTTTGTATCAATACAAAAAGTGATGTATAAGTGGTATACACAATGTTAACCATAGAATATAGAAAAAATCATCCAACGAATCTCTCTTTTTTCATATAACACTCCGGTTTTCATCATTGGAGTTCAATGTCATCCATGACATTGCCTCTAATTTGGGTACTGATGGATACCTTGGACCAATTCTTAGACAAGGTAGTCTAATCTATTGGGCCCATGGACGGACAAACTACATCTGTATAATGTATCTATATAGCGCATGTATCTGTATTGTACACGCACCTACACATATCGTTTTCTATGTATCTTTATACAAATGGAAAAATACACGACTACAAAAATAGTCATTTCATTTTAAGGGGTTGTTCTCAGCTCTTTTTTTATCTTGTCAACCCTAGATCTAGGTTCCCATAAACCATCAAGTACCTATGGTGTCTCGTTGTTAAATTGATGGTCCATAGCTCTTAACATCCCAATAAACTCCACCTCAACCTGACCCAAACCCATCTCCATAGCCCCTCCAAATGCACTCTTAAAAATAGAAATGTCTCACACAAATCATCTACTCCATCTTTCACGGTGAGGTTGACTACTTTGCACACCCTCCGGGCTCCCATGCTTCTTAGTGTATCCCTTGCATTTACATTTTTCTACTTTAGAAAATTTTTTTCTACTTATTTGAATACATGTTTGAAATTAACTTATTTATTTTTCATCATTGTAAATAGCTATAAGAAATTTCAAGGCACTGCCTTCAAACCTCTATCCTACTCTTTACCACGAGTTTGCTACTCTTTACTACTCCCTCCGTTCCACAAAACCCTTCCGGTTTTGACTTTGAGGAAAAATAAGGAAAGTGTAATTTTGGTTGACTTTCCAATTTTGTCCTTGATGTGATGGGAAAAAGTAAGATGTGATAGTTTGGTTATTAGTGAAAAAGTATGATGTGATAAGTAGGGTATGAAAAAGTAGGGGTAAAAGTGGTTTTTTAATAGAAAGTGGAAGTGTTTTGTGGAAAGCAAAAAAAACGAAAGAGGAAGGGTTTTGTGGAACGGAGGGAGTACAACTTTGCCT